TCTTTACTGAATTAAAACGTAAAACACGATGAAGCTCCTTTAATTGTTGTTACAGTGGATGTCGCTGGATTACAGCTCCTCCACTGATATGACCTTACACCTGTTATATTTATATATATATATTTCTTTCTCATCGATATCTAGTCTCTCTCTCTTTCATCTTTTTCTTTTCTTTTTTTCTATATTCGATATATATATATATATGTTTCAGTTCATTATATAACAGATTAGAATAAAAAAGGAATAAACCTAGAGAATATATATATATAGCTAGTGTTCGTCACAGGACGAACGCTAACATTTGGCGACCCTGGCAAACAACATCATTTTGCACTTAAACATTCACAACAATTCGAATAAAATATTGTTTATTATTTATATGGAATAGAGCTTCTACTATAGAAACTCGAACAAGAATATTTTTCTAAAGCCTCTAAGATAAAAGAGACTTGATATTGTACTTGATTAAGAGCCTCCAAGAAAGAGACTCGTCTGTGATTTTTTTTCAAAACTACATTATATCAATTGTATTGCAAGTTATATTTAATCGATAGGTATACTCTCGAGTAAACCGTACAAAAAAAAAATTTTTTTCAAATACGCAAAATAATTTTATAACGGCTTCCGGAACAAGGCTTCAAGTCAAGAAAAATAATAGCAAATTGTTTCCATATACCATCATTACAAATTCAAAATCTCGTACATTTTCATATACTGATTCAATTGAAATGGAAACACAAAACATAGATACACATAAAATGGCTGATCAAACATTATTAGCAAAAGCTCGTAAAGCACGATTTGATGATTTACCAAATTTTTCTGGACATCCTTCTGAGGATGTCGAACGGTTTTTAAAAAGCATCAAGAATATAACCAAGGCAACTGATGAATCAAATAATCATGAAATTTTAGAAATTGTTCGTGGTAAATTAATTCAATCTGCAGGAATATGGTTCGACAATAATGAAGCTAATTTTAAACAATGGTCAGATTTTGAAACTGCATTTCGAAATCGATATTTTTCCTCAACATCAACTCATAAGAAATTTGATACATTAAAACAACGTAAACAATTACCGGATGAACCGATTACGTCTTTTTTCGACGACATTATTAATTTATGCCGGGAAATTGATTCAAATATGTCAGAAAAAATTATAATTCAATATTTAATGAGTGGAATCAATCCTGATTTTAGGAAGGAATTATTAAGACGTGAATCATCTATCAATACATTAAATGAATTTTTAAAATATGCAAAAATTGAACAAGATTTACATGATACATTCGGTAGTCTATCACTTGATTCACAACAACGTCATTTTAATTATAATCACCCATCAATTCCACCATTAACTGCTGCAGTTAATCCACCAAAACAATATTATCATACAATGAAGTACAACAATCCTGTTTCACATTCAACACAATTACAGAGCTCCGTTTCTCAGCGGAACTCGATTCCAACACTTGGAAATTGGACATCCATGGCATCTGATAGAAAACAAATTCGGAATTATCCACCACAATCGATATCAAAGAAGAACCCAAGCAATAGTCAACAAACATCACAACATCAATTCAACAACTGTAAAGTTTGTGGTCGCAACAATCATCGGACAATTGATTGTTATTATAAACGTACAACCGGATGCTTTAATTGTGGTCAAAATCACAATGTCCGTGATTGTACATTACCTCCAAATTTTCAATAGCTGGGTCACATGATGGCGGTGTTCCCAGTAAATTTATAAAGCCATCGACAATAACATCATTCCCTGTTTACATCAAAATTCGTGTTAATGATCAACCAACGGAAGCAATTGTTGATACAGGATCCGCCATCTCAATTATTCATTTAAATTTTCTCAAAACCATTCATCACCAAAATTTTTTATATCAAACTCATTTATGTCAAACTGCAAATTCAACACCTCTTAATATTATCGGTCAAATTAAATTAGAAATACAAATTAAATCTATTAAAACTTACGTTACTGCTCACGTTGCTACAAATTTAATTACATCAATTCTTTTAGGTAATGATTGGATAAATTCGAATCATGTTCACCTTTATGGTGACCAGAAACAATTAACTATTCCTGATCAACATGATCAATTAATTTCAATCCCGTATGTGGAACCAACTTGCATTAATTATCCAGCATTATTAGTGCATGAAATTACTCTTCCTCCATATTCACAAAAATTGGTTGATATTACATGTCAAATTGCTAATACTAATAATCTTATATTTGAACCATACGAACGTCATATATCAAAATTCATCTTCATACCACATACATTATTAAATATTAATAAAAATCACGCCAAAGTGTTACTTATAAATGCACACAATCGACAACAAACATTATCAAAAAACACACGAATCGGTACCCTTTCTCGTGACGCAACGTTCTCAATATATGCAACATCACAAGTTCCAACAAAACATAATTCTATTTTAAATGAACGTCATCAAACAACAACTCGACATTACAATAGATTGAAATCCAGAGCTGTCTTACGTAAAAAGGACAACTCGAATCACGAAAAATTAAATATTATTTGTCATCATTGCAATGAACATTTTTTATCTGGTAATGATTTACAAAAACACTTACGAGCAGAATGTTATTCCGAACAGATTCGAAAACAAATATTCGAATCGACGAAACATAGAAAATCCAAAACATCGATTAGAAATTCAAGATATTTTATGGCGAAATAAAATATTATTTGATCCTACACCATCAATTATTAATATTCCTCCACAATCAGCAATTAAAACTGCTGATCATCCACCTATCTATTCAAAACAATATCCAGCATCATCTAAAGATCAAGAAATTAAATTTCAAGAAACACAAAAATTATTAGAACGTGGTCAAATTGAAGAATCAACTTCACCATGGTCATCACCGATTGTTCTTGTCAAGAAAAAAGACAAAACAATGCGATTTTGCATTGATTATCGACGATTAAATGCTATTACAATTAAAGATGCATTTCCATTACCTCGTATTGATGAAATTTTTGATCAATTATCTGATGCAACATATTACACAAAATTCGATTTTAAATCTGGTTACTTCCAGGTACCTCTATCTAAAGAGGACCGTCCAAAAACTGCATTCTCAACTCGTGACAATCATTATCAATTTACTGTACTTCCACAAGGAATAACCAACGGACCAGCAACTTTTCAACGTGTAATTAATCATATATTAGGACCCGCAAGATGGAAATATGCGTTAGCTTATATTGATGACGTAATTATATATTCAAAAACATTTGAAGAACATTTATCACATCTTAATGAAATATGTACAATATTAAAAAATGCTCGATTTCCCCATGTAAAACTGAAACGCAACCTAGACGCGTCTAAACGCGTTAGTGGGTGCGTTTCAACGCGTCTATCGTCAAAATCAGTAATGGGCCGCATCCAAACGCATCACATAGATGCGTTGGAACGCATTTGTAGTAAGAATTGCGTTCAGACGCGTCTCAAACACGAACGTGATTTGCTTTCTGTATCTCCCGAGACGCGTTTTTCTGCGTTTGAACTAGATAACGCGTTCAAACGCATTGTGAATCGGAACGCGGTTCGCTTGCTGTATATCTTTAAACGCGTTTTTGTGCGTTTCTAATGATAGATGCGATCAGACGCGTCCTAAATACGAATGCGGTATAATTTCTGTGTTGTACCAAACGCGTTTTCATGCAGTTCTACATGATAAATGCGTTCAAACGCATCCTCGATGTAAACGCGGTTTGTTATTATATCGATTTAAACGCGTTTTTGGGCGTTTGAGTTAATAGCTGTGTTCACACCCGTTTTACATGCGAAACGGTTTCCTTTCTGTATTATTTGAAACACGTTTTTTTTGTCCGTTCGAAATTATATTCGCGTTCAAACGCGTTACATATGCGATCAATTTGATTAAAACTTGCCTGGTCATGTTCATATACATATTTCTGATTAATTGATCATTAATAATTCCGAGATTCCAGTTGGAAAATGTTCGAATTATGCAGAAACAATCGTTATTATTATGAAGGTAGCAGCTCCTTGTCGATAATAATTTGAAAGATTATATATTGTTGAGAAAACCTTTGTTAGTTAAATTTGCTTAATAAGAAAATTATTTATGTTTGAGGAATATGATGAGATTCGGCAAAATGTACAGCTACAAATATAAGAAAAAAATGTACTTCGAGAAGAGGAAAAATAATCATAAAATATAATTAAATAAAAACTGACATCCATGTTTATAGTTATTTGACTTGTAGAAATGAATCGATTTTGATCTTGATCTTTAGTGGATAAATCTATACAAAAAAAATGTAGCTATCTTATAGATCCAAATCAAGACATATTTAGTTTTTGAAGATGGATATTTTGTCGTTTTCCTACGGAAATTGTTGTATGTCTTCGAATATTTTTCTTCAATACCATATTGTCATCGAAAGAATCTTTTGATATAATATTATTTGAATCATCTCCACTACTTGCTTCTTTTACTAAACAAGAAAATAACCCATTAGATTTATTCAAACAAAGATAATTTTCTTTAAACTTCTCAAATCGTAAATATTTCCATTTAATATTTTTCTTTTGTTTAACAACATTAGTTGTTTGTTTTACGTTCGAAGCAACAGAAACATTTCGATTTAAACCATTATGTATACGACTACGATCATAAAATGAAAAATGATGTTTTGGATGATTTTTCTAAAAATTAAAAAGGCAACTGCTCTTTTCCCAATCCATATGATATGATTTTTAGAATTGTTTCGTTGCATTATCTAAATTTACTTAATCAACGATCTAAATATTCAGTTGTATTTATCCCGTTAGATGAAAAAAAAATTAGAGCAATTACTTATTATTTGTTCATTATTTTTCATTAGGCTGTTATCTTTTAAATGCGTGAATGGATGATATGAAAGGATGTGATGTTTTATAACGATAAAAACCAGTAACGAAAGCATTTACTAAGCAATAAAAAACAAATCTTTTTTATTGAAAAGTCTTGATTTAATAGGTTTAGAACATGAGAGAAGTTTCTAGATTTATCAGAAAATATCTTTATCTGCACATTCGGCAACAAAGGATATTTTC